TTTTTTTTTTTTAATGCTTTTAACAATTCATTCGCAATTTCTCTCATTATTACAGACTCCTCGTCAGCAAGTTCCACCACTTCCTCCCTCGACTCCGATTTAGGTATCCATTTTCCATCAGGTTTTCCACGTCTGGTTACTTGAATTCAAGCAACATCGAGTATTGAAACTTGACGTTTGAGCAAAAGTTTGAGTGAATTCATTAAAATAATCTGATTATAATTCAATACTTTCGTTTGATTTGTACGTTATTCTATTTTATGATTTTAAACGCGTGTAGGGCCGAGGATAACTCGACAAATTGAATTCAAGTAGCCTGAGTAATCTAAACGAGAGTTTAAATCGTCGATTGTTGAAAATATCGTTGCGTAATAAGCGACGCTTTTTGACGATGTTACAATCAAACAACATTCGAAAAAAAAAAATTACATTTTAAATAGTAAATATCGTAGGTATTCCAAAACTTTTAGACAAGTCAATTAATACAAAATATTGTCAAGAATCGAACGCTTATTATTACCGTAAGATTTATATTGGAACATAATTCGAGAATTATATTTGAATTTTTCATTTATGCTTGAACATAAATATCATATACATTCTAACGATTACTAATATAAATCTTGTAATACAATGTAATACAATGACGTATATCAGGTTTTTGATCCCTCAAGGTCTCCGCAAACCAAAGTATCAGAAAGGAACAACCTTTTTTCTACTTTACAGACCGCACGATTTATACGGAATATATCACAATTTTTGAAGAAAAGAAAGAAAAGAGAGAGAATAGTCTATTTAGCTAATGAGTTAACACGCAAATCTCAAAATACGTGACATTACGGTGGTGTTAATGAATACCTTGAGGGGTTGATCAATTGCACAGGCCGCACTACGTGAATTTTTTGTAGACGCATTCTAAAATTTATAGGTGAGGGCGCGTCGGCGCTGGAGGAGTCGTGGTACCTAACCCCTCCGCCGTGTTTCACACGGGCGGGACCCGTGAACGTAGAGACGTCACCGTTAGAAGACCTGCTAATAGAGCATCCAAGTATGTCTGTTTACCGAGCCACAGCGTCTCCGATCGCCCCCGAAACCCCACCGCCTACGCCGGACGCGCCGGATGAACGTAACGTCGAGGAAAACGTGGCTCTGCGAGACGTGGTCGTACCCGGCGGAAACGTGGCCACGGCGACGCCAGTTTCGCTGGAACGTAACCCTAGGAGAAGACGAGGAGACGCAGAGCAAGAGGATATAGAGCGTAGACCATCTATCCACGACGGCAGACCTGCTGTCGATCGTCCGCGCAGATCAGAGCAGAGGATAGTTGTTCAGCTACGGTCGGCGCAAAAGGTTATGTATGTGATTGGACACATCCTCTTTTTTTTTCTTTTTTTTTCCCTTAGTTTACGTTCGCTCGAGTTACTCGGGACGAGTAACTGCTACTACGAGGCATAGATTGTACACAGTGATGCATATCGGGTACCTGGTTCCTATCGGGTACGTCAACGTGACTTTTACTCTTGCATTCTAGAGTTGTTGTTGTTGCCAATTTAGAGTAGTTGTCTAATAGAGTAATACATGAATTTTCACGAATACACGAATGTTCCGCTAGAGATTAGATTCGTGGAAATATCGAAGCATGCTCATTTTGGAGGAAGGTGGTTTTTCGATTGTGATACCGCGTATTATTTCTTCCGATGGATCTTCGTCTAACAATGAATATCGTTGAAATTGTGCGCAGGTTTTCGAAAAGAGGTCCACGCAAGGTCTAAAGAGAGGTCGCCTGGAGAGGAGTAACAAGTTGAGAGAGGTGTTCAGTGTAAAGGGCAAGCGGCCACGTCGCCAGGACCGCTTGCGCATCCAGAACAGTGGCGCGAACAACAACCGGAAATGCTAGTCATTCGATCTCAGGCCAAGGTGTACTCAAATACCTTCTTCCTAAAACAGGCATATACAGGAAAAGCCACACTGCATTACAAAGAAAAACAAAAAAAAAAAAAAAAAAAAAACTATTATAAAAAGAGGATGAAAGCCAACAAGACGAAAGGAGGAAACGAATGGAAAACAAGACAAACTGAAGCAGAAAAGATTGTCATTTCTCTGAAGGCCCTATATATTACGACCGTAAAACACGCAGATCGCATAAATCATTCAACGCGTAGAAGCTAACCGAGAAACAAAGAACGAATAATAATAATGAAGATAAAGAAACGAGAAAAAAAAATGAAGATAAAATAATGAAGAATAAAGCTTTGTGAGAATCACGTGGAGAAACGAATGACACGAAAGGATCACGTGTAGAAGCTTTTACGCGAATGTGATCACGGGTGTTCTCTCCTCATCAAGATTTTGTATTAGTCGAGCCGCTCCTTCACGTACAAAGAAAACAGAAGAAGAAAAAGAAACATTGGAACAATTTTTTTCGAAGAAGAAGAGAAAGAGTTCGTACCAAAGGAGAAGATTAAAACTGATCACTTTCGGGAAGAAAAATTGAACAAAGCTTCGTACAAACTTGGATGTCTTTTGCTGACCGAGGAGAAGAAGTATATTTGATCCGCGGTGAGAGTATTCGTATCTAGAATACTTTGCGTATAATGGCGTGTGTATGGTAAACGTCAATTGGATCGTATGTATAATTTTTAGCCTCTACTTATTGCTAGTATGGGCAAACGTGTTTCAACGTATGTTTAACTCGTTAGTTTTTTTTTTTTTTTTTTTTTTTTTTTTTAATTTAATTTAAGTTGTTTATACGTTTGTGCTGCCTGTGGGAGCGTAACTTTTAGCGTAATTTTCCCGTAACCTAAATGATCGTTTTCCCTTTCCCTCCCCTACTCGAAGATGGCATCCGAATCGTCATCTTGCTTTCATAGACCGATCCACACTCAGATGGCGCGACAGTCGAAAGGCCAGAAACACTTCGGGACCACCATGTCCTTTAAGTTTCACGTTATGAATAAGTTTATTCCTGCCGGATTTTATCAATTGCGAATCGTTTAATGTGACTGGACTGTGGATTTATGTAAATTTGTTTTCTTCTTTAAGGATAATCTTTAAGTTAATCTTTTAATTGGATTTCAAAGTTCTTTAACGTAATGTAAGTTTAGGATTAGGCTTTATTCTATTCGAGTGTAATCAATTAAACTTTTTAAAATAATTCTATTTGAATTTCTAAAATTAATTATATCGAGTTAATTATAAAGTATCTATCAGATAAGTATCAAGTTAGTATTATGATTGATACTTATCAAATTAATGTAATCGATTAATTTCTTTTTATTAATTTCCAATTCGTAATTATCAAATTGGTATTAATTAATTATGATATATATGTATCGAATAATTATGATGTATCTATCAAATTATTATTATTATCGAGTTTAGTAACCATAAATTAAGTATAAAATTGTACCAAATTACATAAAATCCGCAGTCTAAGTATGATGACTAAGTGTGAGATAGAAAAATTACGAGCATGATGTACTATGTGGTAATTTTCAAAATGGCTCCGGAGAAAGCTGATAGTCGTAGAACGTCCATTTGATAGATATTGTTACCTTCTTTCTTGAAAACACGAGTGTCACTGCAGATTTTCCTGAATTTGAATGTGAAGTTTGTGCAAAAATGTACAAAATGTGCATAATATTTGAAGTGCTCAATGCGCAGTATATTTGTAGTACTCACATAATAGAAAAAAAATATTCGAAATATCCGAAAGCAAAGTATACAAATACTTTTATTGAGTCATGTAAAAAATGAGAAATTTATACATCATGCAGTGTAAATATACAGTACGTTCGCTATGTATTATGGACCTTGTAAGTTTATCATTGAAATGTTTTTTTATGGCCAACATGATGGCGCATTACAATTTTTCATACTTACGACATTGCTCAAGAAACGAGGGTGACCATTTTTTGCAACGGTACGGTATATTTTTTAATCCATTAACTGATGCAGCTGGACATTCCTTGTAAAGAAAAGATCGAAAAATTATTGGTTTAGGAGATATTGCAATTCTGTAAAATCTATCGTATAAAAAACGAGGAAAGACAAAGACGGTATTCTTGTGTCCATACTGTTCTTGTCTTTCGTGTATAAATTTTACAAAATTAAAGTTAAGATATATGTACTAAACTAATAATTTTTCGACGCAATACTTTTTTTTACAAAGAATGTTAAAGGCATCGATTACTGAATTAAAAAATACCACCCCGTTTAAAAAATTGGGCAACAACCACGTTTCGTTTCTTGAACAATTATAGAAAATTCGTGTACGTTGTCACGTCGTAATGAATTTTTTCAAAAAAATTATCATTTACGAGGAAGATACAGCGAACAGCCTGTATAAGAAACTACACGTAGCGTGCAAAAATCTATAAAATATCCAGACTGGTGATAAATAAAACTATTCTGACTGACCAAACTCACTCCACTCGTATTCCCTAGGTAACAAAATTGTTGAAATATCCGCAGTCCACGTCTGCCCCTAAGCAATAAAACGCGTATAAAAGTCAAAGTAACTGTAGCAACGTTACGGTTATTATCTATCAATCGAATGTCGATGAAAGTTTATTTCGAGCGCAGACGAGAACGACACGCGTGTTTTGAAGATAGAGAACGAAAGGGAAAAAGAGCCTTAGTTCCTCTCTCCGATCGTTTCGACGAATAAAAGCTATCGAGGCTCTTTTGCCGATAGTTCTTGGCCTGTCTCGCGCGTAAACGAATACCTAACATATGAAAATCGAACGAGCAAAAGGGACAGAAGCAAGGCTTGAACGCAAACAAGAAACGAAAAAAACACTTTTTCCCATGCTGGAGAATCGGTTTCTATATAGCTAACGCGCGTTGTAGCGCGTCAATATTTCAAAGTATTCCGTGGATGAATTAAAGGATGAAAGCAAGTGCAAGTTACCCCTGGGCCTCGAATATCCAGGGGCCTCATAGACACGCTATGCGATAATGGTCGAGCCTCATTCGCTGACGATACTTGTACCTGGGGCATTGATCACTTGGGCCCTCTTGCACGATTTATTAGTTTATCCGATAAATTGATATCTGCTGGATAAACGAAGGATTTATTTGGATCTAGCACTGCGTTAATACTGCGAAACTTGTGAAATGAATTGGAAAAATTCCTGCCGAGGTTCAAACATCAGACATGTGACTATGACACATCTTGAAAGGAAGATGTCTTTCAATTTTCTTTTCTTTTCTTTTTTTTTTTTTTACTAGTAATAACAATTGAAGTGTAGATTTTATGGTTTTGACCTCATTGTTATTAATAAAAATTGGTCTGTCACTGTGACATGTCTTGACGAATGAACTTTTGATGCCGATAATTCATAAATTTAGTCAAATTGCGAGTTATTATCTAGCGAAGTGCAGGAAGCCCCTGAAAAGAAGAATTCTCCCTCCCCCGCATAGTTTGAACCTCCTCAGGATGCTCAGAACACAGTTAAATGAGGCGCAGGAGACGTAGGCCACGAAACGAGACAGACGCGCTGTACAATTCTCGGGAAACGAGCCAGAGTTCAAGTACAAGTGTTCTTACGGCCACGATGGCGGAGCAGCTCGAGGAGAGAGAAGAAGCTCTCGGTGTCGCCACGAATTGGACCTTTTGTAAAATTCAGACTCCCCGTAACCAAGCATCCATTCGAGTCTGCCAGATTTTGCGACGAATCCTTCTCTAGATAATTTCTTCTGTGAAGAAAACTCGGCGACACCACGTTCAACAGCGATCTCCGCTTAAAAAGAAGAAAAAAACGACTTAACAAATTTCGAAGGCCTTCTGACGTTTTTCGAGAAAACCACAGAATGCTATAGGGACAGCCACTGCCTGGAACGTTTCTTCGAGAGCTGCTTCGCCAAGGCCTTCTGGAAGCTGGATATCGTCCAAGATAAAAATAAAAAAAAAAAAGAAATTAAAAAAAAAAAAGAGTAAACTAGTAGCAATAGAAAAACTCGTCCAATCAAACTATTGGACGAATAGTTGACAGACAGCTGTGATTCAAACTGAATTCGACCTCGAACGATCCTCTCCTCCGCAAGGAGAATAGCTTAATCGTGTTTCAAGCAGAAACCTGTTTTCTTCTCTGTGGTCCTAGATTTTTCTATTAAAAATAAAAGAGGGGGAAAAAAGACAGAGAGAAAGAAAAGAAGAAAGAACTTCGATTATTCCTAGATTGAGCCCCTTGAGATTTCCTGTGCAGCGCTGTAGGCGTCATCTAGCTAGCCCTGATAGTACTTAACGATTCCCCACGTAACATGGAATA